CACGCATTATCCCCACACTTCCACACTCATGGAAGCTGCTTTTTGCTTATTTTCTGGAAGAACAGGTTGATTCTCTAAGTTCTTTCGAAACAAAACTCATTAAATAAATAAATAAAACACAACATTAATCACTTTACTCTTTTTTTCTGTCCATCGGGAGTTAAAGAAAATAGGAAAGCAGTTTGACACTTGCCCCTTTTAGACCAGTGCTAAATGTTCATGTTCATATCCTTTTTTTCTTATTTTTTTCTTGACGATCTTCATTTGGGGTTACAGCACATCACCCACAGCACGCACAGACGACAAAGGGTTCCAGCCAAGGGAGAATTATTACAGTGGTAGAAGGAGGAGGAGGAGTGAAGAGTGAAAAACATGATGAGTGACAGAGTCCAGTTCCTGTCCATTTTAAATACAGCGCTCTTCTGTTGCCTGTGCCGCTTTTCCTGATTTTTTTTTTAGGCATTTTAAAGGAATGTCGGAAGAGAGACAGAAACACAGAAGGATTCAAACAATCAAGCAAACAATCAAACAAACACACTGCCACAGCGGATGGTTGGAATGCCTGTTTGATCCATTTTTGGTTGGTAGTTTGTAATTACGGGTGTTAAGAGGTACTGCTCTGATGTAAAACATTAGGGAAACGTGGTGGAAGAAAAAGAAAGATGGAACAAGGAGAGCATATGACATCAAAGACATTTTTAAGTTCAGACAAACGGATGAGACAGGGTCAGGCGGGAATCAGATCTTGACAGGGGTGAAATTTAAGGAAGGTGTCATGAGAACTGAAGGCGAGGAATATCAAAGAGGCCTGAGAACAAAGAGATGATAGATGGTCTGAAGCCCAACAGTGCATTTAGGTAGTAGGGGATATGTGCCGAGGGCAGGGGCAGGGTGGGGGGATTCTTGAGGGGGAAACAATGTAGGCAGGTGGGCTGCTGGGTCCTTCAGGCCTTAAGAGCATGCCACTGGGCCACGGCAGTGCGAGGATGACCCATCATGTCTTTCCAGTGTTTTACCTCTGCAGGGCCACTCTTCCATGAAAGATAAATCTGTGAGGAAGAGACAGTCACTGTAACTTCTATACAGCCACACAGAGATAGATGTTATTTGTAAAGAATGCTCCCAATAAAACAGCAGAGTACTCAGAGACAAAAAAACTGTGACTCTTAAGTGTAGCCCTTTCACCACTAAGCCTGCTGCTCTAATTGGAATTTAACTCAAATCCAGAGCAGAAAAAAAGCCATTAGAGCAAGAGATTTCACCCAGTGAAAAACTCAGAGAAAGGCTAATGCTGTTACTAATAGGATCAAACACAGACTCGTCTGCAAGCGATTCTAATGTAGCAAGAAACTCCTGGATTCCACATGAAAAATTGTTCACTTTTTCATTGTTCTCTATTTTACGAAGCTATTCTAATAATAGGCAACTGCGGCGTGAAAGAAAATAATATATGTGGTTAGAATGGGAATACATATAGTACCTGTAAATATTGTAGATGTGTATGAAAGCCTTATAAAGTAAATGCTCTTCCCTGCTGTACACAGTGTATAGATTTTTTCAAGTGCCTGATGAAACAAAGATTTGATTTAAGCTTTGGTGTATTCCATTTTTATTCTCCTAATACATATACTGTATGTTTATTTATAGAAAAGCTGGTGTTTGGTTTTAAAAACAAGCAAATCATTCACTCTGCACAGGGAAAAAAAGGAGTTATTTTGGTTACTGTTAAGTCTGATATCTGAAGCAGTTAGGGGATAAAAGAAACTGGTTTTATGGGATATTAAAATCCTGACAAATCCCACAAGTTTCGAGAAAAGAACAATCTAATTTGGTAGTAATTACAACCGAAGCAGAAACTGTTAAATTGCATGTCCAGTGAATTAATTCATATTAATTGTTGAGCAAGCGTAACACAGACTTGTTCAGTCAGAGCACCCAAAGTGACTTTGTCTACAGGCAGCAGTACAAAGGAATACATAAACAATGGTCTGCAAAACTTCTTGAGCCAACCCTCAAATTTTTATATTTTGCTTGGAAAATGAGAAATAGGTGCAGTGATTTATTGAAGCAGGTGTAAATATACACGAAAATACAGCATGTAAAGTAAAAACAGAGTTTGTACAACGGGCTTGAAAATCAATATTTGGTGTGACCACTTTTATTCTTCAACACAGCCTGAACTCTTTTAGGCAGCTTTCTTGTAATTCCTTTAAGTAGTCTTCAGCAGTAGTTCTCCAGGCTTGTTGAAGGACATTCAAAGCTCTTTTTTTTGGATGTTGGCCGTTTGACCAGTTTTCTCATATTTTTTTGAGGACACACTCAACACCATGCTGCGATATGGCAAGCTTACAGTAAATAGCTCTTTTGGAATTACCTTGTTGGTCAAAAGATGCAATATTATACTGTCAAATTGTGTTACTTTTGGCATTTTTGTAGATTCAACTAAAGAAATGGGAACATATTATGTATGTTTTTGCGACAGGCAGCTAGTAACAAAAAAGGATACAAATTTATAGTTGGTTCTTTGTTAAATTTTCTGTCATGTGTAGACACAGCACTGGTTAATCCCCTCAAGTTATTTGCCTGCTTGTGTTTGTGTGTGAAGGGCAGGACTGAAAATGTGTGGAAAAAGCAGCCAATGTCCAAAAACAACATTTGAAAGATCTACAGAAACCCTGGAGAACTGTTCTTTAAGACCACTTTAAAAAGTCACAAGAAACTCCAAGATTCCTTGGTTGCAAAATATAAAGAAATGAGGGGTGGCTTAAGACCTTTGCACAGTACTGGGTTCATATTTGCCGTTTAAAGTAAAGTACATCTACATGTCTTTGTGTCTAAAAGAAGCTGCAATTTATTAGATTTTTTCCCCAGAAAGCATTAAAACTACGAAAAATTATAGGAAACTAAAAGATGCAGATAAGAAGTTTAAAATGTTTAATCACGTTGTAACAGAAATACATTAATTTTTCTCAGAGTTGATCAGCTAATTCAACAAAGAAATTCAGGGGATATTCCGGTTAAAGCTGGAAAGGTTTAAACTCACCATCTGCATTTAGCCAAAACAGTAAATGTGCAGTTTGCTGACTGTGTGTATCTCCATCTGCCTCTGTGCCATTCCTAAATGTTGTAGTATTAAGTCTAAATAAAGCACACTTTTACTTTCACACTTAAAATTAGCGGCTTGTTGTTTGCTGCATATGAGTTCATTTACAGCACAGGGGAATGAACTGCATGTTCCAGCAGGGGTCAGTAGAGACTGGCTCACTGATCATCTGCTGATGGTCTGACAGACAGTCAGAAAAACACAGAGGAAGAGAGAAAAAAAGAGGAGGAAGAAGAAGAAGAGAGGAAGAGGCGAAGAAGAGGAGTGGGAAGGAGATACCTTCCCAATGACATCATTGCGGCTGAGTCTGTCCTTGTCCATGACGGTGATAATTATGGTGGTCTCCCTCAGCACGTGGGCAGGCACGTCAAAGGGGAAGGACTCGTTGAAAACAGGGTTCAGACAGCGCTTCATTACCACCGTCTTCTTCTTCTCCACACGCTTGTCCTTGTGCATCAACCACACTTTTACGTAGGGGTCTGAGGAGAGGGAAATGTGCCGGTTATGAAGCAATATAGCATTCATGAATTACCAGAATTGGGGATTTAATGAGAACAAAAAAACAACAACAAAAAACCAAAAATGAAATATAAACACGCTATTTTCTCATTTTCTGTTGTTGGAATGTAAAAATGTATTGAAGAAAGGAAGACGAGGGAGCATCTATACCAGAAGTGCCTCCAATGTCCATGGCTTTGAGGTTGCGGGCTTTGATGATGCTCACAGTGATGGTGTTGGCTGTGGGGTTGTAACACAGAGACACCAACAGATCCCCTCGACTTCCCTGGAAAAAACCATAGACGATAACAAAAACAATAACAAACTGTTCATTTTTAATTGCCTCATTGCATTGCTCTCCATTCTGTCACTCATCCTATGTTTCCTTTGCTTGCCTGTGTTTCCTTCATCTACCTGTCAGCCTCTCCATATTCCCTATCCCTTCTCCCTCTAGCATGCTGCTACATCTCCCATGGGAGCATCACGGCAGCCAGGAATGACATCACCCGCTACATTCTGTCCCATCTTCTCTTTCTCTTCATCTTGCCCCCTCCCTTCCTGTCTATCTTCTTTTCCTCTACTCAGCCTCTTTCCTTCTTACTCACACTGCCATCGCTACATGGTTTCAGCTCCTTCCAGAAAGTCTGCATGTTGGCTAGGTCCAGCTTGTTGAGTGGAATGGACACCTCTCCTATTGGGTCGTTCCTGCTGAAGCGATCGTAGTCAAGAACCTGGAGGTACAGGGTCCTCTGAACCACCTTCTCATAGGGGAACCCTGAGAAAGAGATTCACACACGATAGTCTTAATATGTTACAATGATCCAGACAGAAATGACTGCCTGCATATGCTGTGAATGTGCTTAAGGAAAGGCTTCCTGATCACACCTTCGAAAAGGAAGGTCTCGTTCCAGTGGGGGTTTAGATTCTTCCTCTTCACTTTTGTCTCCAGTTTGTGCTTCTTGTCTGGCAGCAGGTATAGTTTGACAAATGGGTCAGAGGTGCCAGAAAAGTCCTTAGCTGGCAAATCTTGGCCTTTGAGAATTTTCACAGTGAGGGTGGAGTCTTGAAAACTGTATCCAACACTGAACTGAATACGACCCAGCTTTTCACACACTGGACCCTCATGTTCTTCTTCCTCTGAACCTGGTGACAGCTGACAGAACAAGAGGAGATAAGCAGGGCATTATTTATTTTTATTCAACTCTGTTATCTTATTGGAGGATTTACAGCACTGGGAAAAGTCTTTAATCGTATTCATTTATTAAATAAATAATGAATAAATAAATACACTTTCTTGAAATGCTGATTTCTATTCCCCTAGCCACACCCAGGCCTGCTTACTGCCAGACCGGTTTGACCAAAGAATCACTTGAGTAGAGTCCATCTGACAAAGTGAAGTAGGCTAAAAGATGTGAAAAAGTTCACTGACATCTATGACTCTGGAAAGGGTTACAAGGCCATTTCTAAGGCTTTGAGACCCCAGTGAACCATAGTGAGAGCCATTATCAACAAGAATGGAGAAAACATGGGGTGGTGGTGAATGTTCCCAGGAGTCCAGGCCTAACAAAATTACCCCAAGAGCGCACTGACGACTCATCCAGGAGGCCACAAAAGAATCCAAACAACATCTGAACTGCAGGCCTCACTCACCTCAGTTAAGGTCAGAGTTCTTGATTCAACAATAAGAAAGAGACTGGGCAAAAACGGCATCCATGGGAGAGTTCCAAGGAGAAAACCACTGCTGACCAAGAAGAACACCAAGACCCATCTCAAATTTGCCAGAAAACATCTTGATGATCCCCAAGACTTTTGGGAATATTCCTTGGACTGATGAGACAAAAGTTGAATTTTATGGATGGTTTGAGTCCTGTTAGCTCTGGTGTGAAACTAACATCTCTTAAGTATCATAAAAAGAACACCATACCAACAGTTAAACATGGTGTTGGTAGTGTGATGGTCTAGGGCTGCTTTGCTGCTTCAGGACATGGACAACTGGACCGGTGAGATCACCGTTGAATGGCACAAAAAATCGAAATGAAGGTTTTGGCATGACCTTAAACAGCCTGTTCATGCTTAAAAATGTCCAATGTGGCTGAATTAAAACAATTCCGCAAAGAAGAGTGGGCAAAAATTCCTCTGCGGGGTGAAAGTTGTGAAAGGTATCGCAAATGATTGTAGTTCTTGTTGCCAACGGTGGAAATATGACAATTATAAGAAAGATTCCAGAAGGAATCAGAGGAAGAGAACCAGCACAATCTTGCAAAAGAGATTTTTTTTTACTTCCTGCTTAAACAAAAAACAAAAACAACAAATTGGCTAAAAACAACAATTGAATGGATATAAACTGAATTTTGTTTCCAAGGAGATAAGATTCCAGTTAAAGAATAATATGTGTTAATGCAGATAATGTCATTTTCCGTGCTGCTGAACTGGTGTCCAAATTGTGAGTAGATAGATACACTACTTTCTATAAACAACTTCCACCCACTGTGCAGTATGTTGTACATATGTCATTTGGGGTGGTGTTGCTCAGGTAGTAGAGGTGGCGGTTTGATCATTAGCCCAGCCACAATAACAGACTTGTATGGTGACTCTGCCATAGTTGCTATGTGAGTTTGTATGCCTGCGTGGAAAAAGAAACCATCTGTGAATGATTTTATAGCACTTCTCTAAAGTTAAAAAGCTATTTTTTTTAGATTATAGATCTGTAATAGCCATGCGGCAATGCTGCTGTCAGTGTTGATAATAAAGTGTTTAAAATCTAAGCATACTGCTCAGATTTAAGTACATAAAGGATTATAATAAGTCCCTATAACAGAGAATACTGACGTGATAATGAGGGGGTTATTTTGAATATAAGACTGTTACATTAGACCGCATTACTTTATGTTTTTTTCCTAATGAACTGGGGCTGGATAGGTATAAAAGTGTAGCACCGCGGGAGCTGCACTGCTATGATCTAAATCAAGGGTCAAGCTCTGCAATATTCACAGCATGGTCACACAGTCTGAACACTTAAAGAGGAGCGAACACTAAACAAGTGACTTGAACTCCACACCACGGGGGGCACCAATTCTGAACTTCACCATAAATACCACAGCTTGTAAGTGGCAAACTAGCATGATGTTATGTCGCATGGCTAGCGTCCCCCATAAGAAAAGGGCAGAGCTGGTTGCATGGCTGTTTGGAAAAGCAGATTATCTATTGACAGACACATCCTCTGACTGATGGTGACATGGCCTGAAGGGAGGGAGAGAATCCAGTTTAAAAAGTGCTATCTGATGGGGGAAGAGCTGGAGGCATTATTCAAGGGGCAGAAACATAATATCCAATTCTGTATTTTCCCACACAATCCTGGTGGTGCTGCCCAGCCTCATTCTCTATGCTGAATATGTTCACTTTTCATTATGCAGTCCTCCAGCCAACAGATGGCCTAAATTGCTATTCCCAATTTTCTGCATTTGGATACTCTCGTTTTCTTAGAGTCCCCCCCTCCCTTCTTATCCAGTTTTTAAATTTGCCTTCCTAATTTCTTTTTCTAAAAACCACAGCGATCCACGTGCAACAGAGGCAAACATGGCCAGATATATACTGTATATATATATATATATATA